CCACCTCCATCAAAGGGCACCCAGAAGTCTCACCCAATTGTGGCATCAGGAAACATTTAGGACTCCATGATTACATATGGTCCAGATGTGAAATGGACCTGGGAACTAAAAGCACAAGCTACTGGCCCACCCCCTCCCACACCCACACAATAAGTAACACTGTAACAGAGACAGGATAATCACAATAGGCACCCCTATTCAAAACAAGGAAACTTGATCTTCAGCAAATCTGAAGTCCCTCTAGGCAAATTAGAAGAGTTCTCCTGCCATGGGAGTAGGAAGTGTTTCTTTCTCTCTTTTTAAAAAAATTTAATATATTTATTTTTTAATTCTTTTTTTAAAAATTTTATTGGAGTACAGTTGATTTACAATGCTGTATTAGTTTCAGGTATACAACAAAGTGAACCAGTTATACATATATCCAATTTTTAGATTCTTTTCCCATATAGGCCATTATAGGAAGTGTTTCTTGATTGGATCTTGGTTCTGTTCCCATGGGAAAGGGAGGAGTGGATGGGGGAGGGGGTAAGGGTTGGGACCCACAGTCCATGCTCTCTACAGCTCCCGGCTCTGTCCCAAGATACCCTTGCCATCATGTTCCTCATTGCTTCTGAAGAGGACACTGAAAATTATACCTTTCATTGGTGGCTACGTTTTCCCAGCCTGCTTCCCACCTGAAGAAAATTGGACACACTCAAAAAGTGTTTCAGTCTCTTTAGTTCAGGCTGGTAGGACTTTGGTAATATCACTCTCTCTACAACTTAGTGGGCTTTCTATGGATTTGATTGCAGTTCATTCCATGTGTTAAAATCACAATGTTTTTCAAGACACATTTCTCTCCAGATTTGAATTACTAGCACACTTTGGGCACATCCAGTGGCTGTGGACCCATGCCTCTGTCCAGCTGAAAGAGCTACAAAAAGTCATTTTGTCATATTTTGCAGTGTTACAGCCACACCCCTGATTGGGTCTTTGCCCTGAAGCCATGTTTTCTTGCAAGTCACCTGAATTTGGTCTTTGTCTTTCCTGTTATATAATTCAACAACCATTCCCTGGACTTAATCTTTGTCCCCAGGCTGTATCTTAATTTAAGAATCTTTTCCTGCCTAGACTGGCTGAAGATAACAGTTTTATTTTCTAAGTAGCAACTTCTGGGCTGCTTGCAAACTGTTCTTTTCTTTTGTTTGGTTTCTGTTTTGAGCGCATCTCTTCCTTGTAGTAACTTACTGTATGCATTTAAAAGCAAACAACTCATTCTTTCAAAAATTTTCTGTCTGCCCTTTCCTTTGGTTATGTTGCTCACTTCTTTGAGTGATTTTACCATGCAACAAATCAGTGGATGGAAAAATCCTAATATTTAGATTTGTTCACAGAGAATGTTGCACTTGGACCTTAAGACCAAATTTATCTGTACTAACCAACTCTTCTAGAACTCTACTGAGAGGTATCAAGAACTGGTTCAGCCCTAAAGAAATATTAGAATTTTTAAATTGTACTATTTCTCCTGTTGGGACCCAACAGAGAGAAAAATGATAGAATAGGACTTGATCATTTCAAAAATTTTCAAAATCTTACCTTCATCCTTTGGAAGGGCCACAGCAAATTCTACTGGTCTGGAAGTATCTGGAACAAAATGCTACCATTTGTCAGCCCCAATATGGTGGAGTCATAGATTACCTGCTATTTGGTAAAGACAGGAGATGGCAGAATGATCTGGTTCTACTTAAAGCAGCAGTCCCCAACCTTTTTGGCACCAGGGACCGGTCTCGTGGAAGATAGTTTTTCCACGGACCCAGGGAGGGGGATGGTTTCAGGATGACTCAAGCACATTACATTTATTGTGCACTTTATTTCTCTTATTATTACATTATAATATATAATGAAATAATTATGCAACTCACCATAATGCTGACAGGAGGCGGAGCTCAGGCGGTAATGCAAGCTATGGGGAGCAGCTATAAGTACAGACAAGCTTCGCTAGATCGTCTGCTGCTCACCTCCTGCTGTGCGGCCCAGTTCCTAATGGGTACTGGTCCGTGGCCCGGAGGTTGGGGACCCCTGACCTAAAGCACTACACAGGTCACCTCAGATTCATGAATGCAAGGTTCTTCTAGAAAGAGCAAACAACCATTTTTTTTGTATATATATTTTTTATACAACAGGTTATTAGTTATCCATTTTATACATATTAGTGTATATATGTCAATCCCAATCTCCCAGTTCATCCCACCACCACCACCCCGCCCCCCCTGCCACTTCTCCCCCTGGTGTCCATACGAGCAAACCACCATTTTTTTCCACAAAGACTCTAGACTGATCTGCAAAGTTTATGACTTTGTAGCGCCTAGGTCTATAGTAGATGGGTTAACTAACTGTGGCCCATTGGCCTCCACTGCAGAGCCAGTAAGGTCAAGGCTATAGACATTACAGACTCTTGCAAGACTTTGTCCCACTGGAGGCAAAAAGAGACTAATCCATTCAATGTACACAGTTTGTCTCCAGTAAAGATAGAGCTAAGCCTCTTACCAATGGAAATCCCTGAATGAATTCGGCTTCTAGCATGGGGCAGATGGACCAGGTCTTCCTAGAATATAGGGTAACGGAGCTGGCTTCAGTGCTCAACTCTACAGCGTCTGCAGGTCTAACTGGGGACTCAGCTTCCAATGCGTGCTGACCCTCCCTAAGTTCATGGAGGCTGTAGACTGGGATGACTTGGCCCAAATCATTCCAAAAAGGATCAGGTAGCCTCCTCAAACTGGACAAAGAGGGGCTCTTACTCGAATCCAAATGCTTGGGCAGAAGGCCCTGACATATTGCCTTACACCTCACATATCAAACCTGGTGTAACTAGTGTACATAGAGTTTAACTTCCCTTGGAAGGCAGATGCAATTTCCTTACAATGTTTTCCTTGGGGCACAACTAGATGCTCTGGCTATAAACGTAGGGTACTGCTCACCTCTAGGCCTGCCCTAGAAGGCAGCTAATCATATCCTTGGTCCCAGACCCGCAGAAGTAGGTGTCACCTCTGGCTGTGCTGAAAGGAAGATGTTAGTCTATTAGGACCCAGAGGAGCGTGGCAGCGGCAGTCAGAAGAGAAAGGCTCTGAGCCAATGACATTCATAGTCATAACTTGCATCTTTTCCATGTGTTCCAATAGTTACACACACTTTATGTAGCTTATTATGTTTCCTTTCACAGTAACCTCCACTCTACAGATGGAAAGAAGCCTAGGCTCGAAGAAGTTCAATAACTTGTCTCGGGTCTCCCAGCTAGTAGATGGCAGCACCGGGATCTGAAGGCAGGCATTCTGTTTCCACATGGGATGTTATCTGCGGGGAGGGTCTTCAGCCACGTGTGATTCTCAGCCCTGAGGACAGAGATGTTAGTTGACTGCACCTTCATCCTCTTCCTGGGCACATGGCATCTGGAAATTTGAAAGCCTGTATCTTCACATGAACAGAGGCTCCCCCAGCCTCTTCTTGGAAGGAGACTGCAGTTTCCTCTGCCGAAGAGCCAACTCAAATGTTTGTTCGCAGCATCATTTTGAGCTGCCCAAGCTCACAAAGACTCCAGTGGACATTCCAGACTCTATCACTTAGACCACTGCAGAGTCGAATTCAGTCTGGAAATTTCAGCATCTTACGTACGGACTCTCACTTTGATAAGCACCGGCTGCTCCACCAAGAGGAATTAGCTATAAGTGATCTAACCGACCTACTAGTTGGGGTTTAGATTAAACACCTGAATTGTGGATAAAGTCTTGCAAATACAGTTGAAGTCATTTTTATAGTTGATTCTAAGGAGTAACACACAATGGGATCAATTACTTTTGAGATATTTCGTAGGCTGTGAATATAAAATCATACTGCTAAGGAAAAGTGAAAGAGTTTTTCTAAAATACTCTGGAGTAAATTCAGCTGGAAGAAAAAGGAAGCCTTAGCCTTCACTGTTTTAAACCACTTAGAATTGAAATACGATGTGTGGAGAGACTGTTCCTAGTCACTCTGGTTCGTAGTGTGGTGCTGAAACATAGATTTTGTTAAAGCATTAACAGCCTAGACTCTCAGCTGAACTTACACAGTTTGGCCCAAAGTTGACATGTGTCCTACGTTTCTAATATGCATGTGTTCCTACCTCAGTGAACAGCACTGTGAACACCAGAAACCTGGTCCCATGCCTATATCCAATCTCCAAGTCCTGATCATCCACTCATGTTAATCGAGCCTGACTCTACCTGCCTCTCTCCATCAAGGTACCACCATAATACAGGCCCCCATGCTCTCACAACCAAATTACCAAGTAGCCTGCCCGCTGACGCTCTTGACTCCACGGTCTCTCCTGCTCACTCACCCACACTGCACTGCTGAGTTTCCTCAAATGTTTGAACCTCTTCCCCAGGTTGCTTAGCCTGGGTACACAGCCTCCTCATCTGCTGTGGCTCAACTTCCCCCCATCACACTCCACTCCAGCTACTTCAACCAACACCAGGGCCCAGATGCTCTCTTTTCTTCTCTGCTTAAGCTTTGGTTTTTGTTTTTATGTGCGTGGAATGCCCTTTCCCCTACCCCTGCCCCCAGGGAGAGGGAGGTATAGAGAGGGAGCCAGAGCTAGAACTGGAGATGGATGTGCAGACACACAAGTTGATGAGCACAGAACATGAGTGAGAAGGACACCCACCGAAACCATTCATGGGGACCTCTAAGGAATGGGGCTCCAGGGGGGATGTTAAGGAAGTGGTACTGCAGGATGTACCTTTTACTTTTGTATATTGTTTAGATTTTTCTAGAGTGAATACGTTTAACTTACCTCTATATATTTTAAATTACATTTTCCCATCCTCACCTCCAGAGATACTGATTCAGTGGGGAAGGGTCCAGGATTCTAATCTTCCAAAGACCCTTCATAGACTCTGTTACTCAGTTAGGGAACTGTAGCTGAAAAGATTGTTTCCAGTATAATAAGGCAATTGACATTTTTGTTTTTTAAGAAAAGCTCCAACTCTATTACACAACCATTTTTTATTATTTCCTTTTATTTTACAGTAGCTTCTTTCTACTACAAATTCACGTTCTCTAAGTATATTAGATTTGAAATATCTGTAAGAATTATAATAGCATTGGCAGTCATTTTAACAGTTAGCCACATTTGAACAAAGGGCCTAAATAATCATTGTAAAGCATGTATTTGTGAAGTAGGTTTCATAAGCCATTTTAAAATTAAGGCAAACAAGAAAAAAACCCTACAAATACAAATATCAGGGTTTCTCAGATTCTAAATTTATAACACTAACTTAATTACCATTTGATTGACTCTCAAAACAATGGATATTTTCAAAACACGAAGTAGAAAGTTATTAGAAATAACAACTTCAGTATAATGTATACCTATTTCACTAAACATTTTTAAGTTTTGACTTTGGGAAAATGTAAAGATGTAAATGTTTTTATAATTAACTTTTGAAAATATCTGTAATGCCCTAAAATGCAGACATCAACGCATCTATTTCTTTAAACTTGTTAGTTATATTTTCAATACATTCTCCAGCTTTTAATCTTAGCCCATCAATTACAAGATAGTCCTCGTCACAGTGGTTCTCAAGCGAGCTGCCAACAGGAGCTTCAGGGCCACATTTCGATAACTGTAAAAATAATCATACAAGTCATCAAATTTACTTGAAGACCAGGCTTAATTATTTGAACAAAACATAAAGTTGTCAGTAACTCCTTAAGAAGGTGTTCCATTTGCTGGTGGTCAAATAATGATCCCCACATAAAGTATAACGTACAGTAAGTGTGTGAGTGTAAAAATAATATAGTATTTGGTCCTGTCTCTACTCTCCAACATCACACATTTTTAGTTAGTTTTAATTTTATGCTTTGGCAAAATGTGGTCATTAAAATTAAACTTCTGAGAGTTTTCTATATTTGTTTATTTTAAAAATGATTACTATGGGGAATACAAGTTAAAACTGTTTTAGTCACACTTTTCTGTTCTCATTTTCTCATAAGCATCTGCATTCCTTATGAACAGTGAGAGTGTGTGCTAGCTTAGTGGGAAAGAACACAGGTAAAAACAATGCAAACACACACACACACACACACACACACACACGAGATTTACAACTTCAAGGGTCATTAAAGGCAGAGGTAACTTCCCACACAATGAAAGAAAAAAAATACATGCAGTTTATGGGACTTCCCTGGTGGTGCAGTGGTTAAGAATCCGTCTGCCAATGCAGGGGACACAGGTTCGAGCCCTGCTCTGGGAAGATCCCACATGCCGCAGGGCAACTAAGCCCATGCGCCACAACTACTCAGCCTGCACTCTAGAGCCCATGAGCCACAACTACTGAGCCCATGTGCCGCAACTACTGAAGCCTGTACACCTAGGGCCTGTGCTCCGCAACAAGAGAAGCCACTGCAATGAGAAGCCTCTGCACTGCAACGAAGAGCTCGCTGCAACCAGAGAAAGCCCACGTGCAGCAACAAAGCCCTGACACAGCCAAAAATAAATAAATAAATAAATTAAAAAAGAATACATGCAGTTTAGACAAGTGCTTCCATGTATCAAAAATGTACCTTTCATTACAATAATTATTAAAATAATTATTATTCAGTAAACTCTGTCTTATCTGTATATGGACTATCTAATTTGTGAATTATTCAGGTGGATTCTTATAATAATCTGAAATTAATTCCTTCCCAGTTTTTTCCACGTCAGGTCATGTCAACTAGTGTTAATATTAGCTAAGAACATAATTAATTAGAAAGGTGACTCTACTGAGGAAAATAATCTCAACGACAAATAGAAATGGATTTTGATTATCCATGTGTGTATGCTTTTTGTTCATGTTGCTACTCTCAATTCATTGGTATAAATGCTTGAGAGTAATCCACCTGAAACCTCATACATGAAATGAATGATGAAAACATCATCAAATTTACAACTTTGAAAATAGCTCAAACACTATCTGCCCAAAGAATAAACATGCTCAGAACTTTAAAATTATCAGATGGCTCCTTTTGATGTGTTAGTTTGTAAAGGCCATTTTCTCCTAAAAACAAAACACATCTTCAGTGTTAAGTGGTATTACCTTTGGAAGATATATTAATTTTTCCTACTAACAAAAAAAAGAAATCCCTTAGGTGATCATTTTTTTATTTTTAAGCTGTAAATTGCTCCAGCTTTGACAGTTGGTCTCATTGCTATTCTCCTTATTTAAAAGTGAACAAGGCCCTAAGTACCCTGAACCTGCCATGAATTCCAGACTTGTAAAGCTCAGTGTGGAGAGAAGCTTATGAACCAGTCAGCAGGTGGCACTCACCTGCCTACTACCAGCAAGTTAAAATGGTTAAATTTTATAATTTCTAAATGACTTTGAAAGCATAAAATATTACAAGAATCTAAAACAAAGAGCAAGCTCCTGGCTGGTGATGTATAAAAACTATGTATTTTACCTTAAGAAATAAAAATCAGAAGTAATTTTCTGTTCTATGAAATTACTAGTTATAATGGCAAAATAGAAGCCAATTCTGTGGCTGTAAAAGCTCCAGGACATTTCTATAAAAATCAACCTGGCTGTATTTTTTTTTTTTTTTGCGGTGCGCGGGGCTCTTACTGTTGTGGCCTCTCCCGTTGCGGAGCACAGGCTCAAGACGCGCAGGCTCAGCGACCATGGCTCACGGGCCCAGCCGCTCCGCGGCATGTGGGATCTTCCCAGACCGGGTCACGAACCCGTGTCCCCTGCATCGGCAGGCAGACTCTCAACCACTGTGCCACCAGGGAAGCCCCTGGCTGTATTTTTGAAAAGACAAACTGATAAGACTGAAAAAAAAGAAAAACCACTGCAAAAATCCATATGGTGCTCAAACAGAACACACATTTGCTAGAAAAGAATAATTTGTATATTAACTACATGTATACAACATATATATCACCAATCTATAGCTCTTGTTCTACAAAGGGTAGGATCTATATAGAGACAACAAGTTTTTTGTTTTTTTTTTTTTAAAAAAGGAACTCTAATTGGAAAAATGGCATTCACAACCCATGGAAATTCAAGTACAAGTTGGTATCGCTGACCAAGAAAACATTTATGTTTTTCAGCTCAGCAAGTGTTTTTATCATTAATTTTATTTTCCTTGACATTTTGATCTCAACTGTAAATTCTGTATATTTCTTGATTTCTAACTCAGTCAAGAAGGTATTTAAGAATCATCTTTATTCTTCTTGAAGTTCTGAATGAAATCAGCCAAAGTGGGTAAACAACCTTGTCCACTTACAAATCCACCTTTTCTGCATCTCAGAATAGACAGACTTGGGGATGGGTAGTTCCGCAAAGTGAGAATATGGGAAAAGAGACAAAGTGACAAATTCTTAGCTCATACTCTCTCCAGCGGCTGCCACTGACAATTCTCATCTGTAATAACAGCCAACCTTAGGTGTCAATTACTCTGCAAAGCACTTTTCCTGGTTTGCCTTGTTTCACCCTTGGCTAGGCAACCTTGCCAAGTCCCCCAAATCCTCACTGGCAGGACCAGGATGGGCACGTAGGCACTGTATCCTGAGCCTGTCTCCTATCCACTGCCCTCCTGACTCCAGGCACACTATATACCCAAATGAGGGAATGAGAGAAGGAATGAAACCTTAAGGTTCCAGGGCTCCCCCCTGCTGTTTTTCTTCCTAACTACATAGGGAACAGCTGTACCACCTTGTGGAAGCGTCTGCCCCATGACTTATTTTTCTCACACCTGCCACACTGCTGCTCTGTGTTAATGAGCTGGGCTTGTACCTCATTTTATTTGCACAGACATGGAGCTGATGTGCTGAGCAGTGTGTCAACCAACTCAAAATTTCTGTTTTCATATATAAATATTGAATACAGTAAGCACACATGGCCTTTCTCAGCCCAATATAGCTGACCAAAAGAAAAAGACAATTTAGTTAAGAATGGTGAAATAGAGTCCAGTGAAAAACCCCACCTCCAGGATGTTACTAATGAGGTTTGTCCCCATGGAGGTCAACCCTGTGCATGAACCAGGTAGAGCAGGTTTCCTGAGCGGCTCTTGTCCTGGCCCTTCTCCTGACTGTAAAGATGGGCATCCCCTCGATGACGGTGAGCCCCTCCATCTCTCTTCATTCCAGCCTTAAATATCTAAAATAAAAGAGCTCCTTGGCTCAAATATACTTTTTTCAAAGACTGATAGATGCATCTTGATTTCTCAACAGGCTACTAGTTTATTATTCACCTCATGATAATCAAGGGCTCAAGTTTCAGAAGTGAAAAGCATTTCCCATATAGTGAAAATGAAGATCCAGGAACAATTTCTGCTGTTTAAGGAGTCTGGAGTTGCTGTTTAGGCCTGATGGTCACTATGGACCCTACCTTTTCTCCTGTATCTGTCTCCTCTCTGCGCTCCCCTTCGGACTCATCAGGAGCGGCTGTGGGCTCCCGCGCTTGCTCTAGCATTTGCTCCAGCTCTTTTAGTAAAAGTTCTGTCTCAGAGACAACTAAAGAAACAACGTTAATATAGTCAAAAATGTTATATCTTAATTAATTCAATCTAATTCATACTATTAACCACCCCCAAAGAGGACATTTTCTAAAGTTATGAGATTAAAAAATAAATACTTTGTATAATTTTCAGATAGGCCTCTGCTTGATGTGAAATTACTATGGATTTCCAGGTGAATCTTTTATATTGAATAATTATTCCTTGAAAAATGTAGGTTACATTCTTGCTATGTGTAGACTATAAAGTATCCCTGAAACATCAAAAGCTCACTAGAAGTTTGCATTTTTAAAATAAGGAGCCAAGGGCACCAAACTAAATTGTTATTTATAGACCGAGGGTCAGCAACTTTTTTTCTGTGAAGGACCAGAGAGTAAATATTTCAGCCTTTGTGGGCCAGATGGTCTCTGTCACAGCTACTCAATACTGCTGTTGGATGCAAACCATACACATACACTTAAACCAAATGAGAGTGGCTGTGTCCCAATAAAACTTTATTTACAATAACAGGCAGCAACTCGTGGACCGTGGGCCACAACTTGTCAATTCCTGCAATAAACTATTAAAGCTACTGTTTAAAAGGGGAAGCCATGTAATTAAGTGGCAAGGCTAAGTCCAGACTAGTCTATTCCTAATCAAAATATCAATGCATCTTAACTGCCTAATCTGATTAAAAAAAAAACCCACACACTTATAAAAATTGTGGTTTTTTGGTGCTACTGTGACAGAAATATGTAAGTATGTAAAAAATCTGGTAATTGATTGAACTTGCTGAGATAAAATAATATCCCCATCAAAGAAATAAACACCTATTATAACTCTACAGACTCAATCACTGATTAACAATATCAACTGAATTCCCGATTTAAATAAAACAAACATTTTCATTTGATACCAAGTCTTGTTGAAGTAAAGATAAGGGGAAGGAGACCCGGATGGCCTGCTTCTGCAAAACAGACTGATGGGGCCCCTGAGAAGTCTTCCAAGGGCAGCATGATTGAAAGAGAAAGGCCACGAACACACACCCCATCACCTTCCACTCTGGTTATACAAATCTGACACACCACCCCTATTATGGACTGCTCATTGGCAAGTAACCAAAAATCACACGAGGTAGAGCAGCTGAAAGTTCATGGAACCCAAGCAGGACACACCCTTCAGCGCTAAAATATTATCAATGAATATATCAAGGTGTTCCCAGCAATCATATTAATTTAATTGTGCATGATATACACATCCATTTGTGTGTGTGTGTGTTTACACACACAGGTATCCTTGTAAACTAAGCATGCTATAAGGTAAAAACAGAGATTATTAACGTGAGACGTTCCAGCTCAAAAGAATTCATATTTTATTACCATCTTCTTTTATTTAATCAACAAATGTTTATTGTGTGCCTACTAAGGGTCAGGGGCCCCAGAGAAGAGCCACAGACCAACGAGCCTTCCTGGTCATCATCTCCATCTAGCCAGTCTTAGGTTTTCTTTGTGGAAAACTCTCACAAACAGTTTGAAAGAAGCTTTCTGATAAGCCATTCCATACCTCAGAACCAGTTCCTATGTTTAAAGACAAACAAACAAAAACCGTAACTGACATGTTAGTTGTAAGCACACAGATCTGTGTTAACTGCCAAAGCCTAAGAACACAGAGGATAAGCTATTACATTCTAGAACAATGATATTCAAAATCTAGGGGCACAAGGATCACCTGGAGACTTTATTAAAAAATATGAATGCAACACCATATCTACTGAATCAGAATTTTCTGTAGGAAAGTACATTTTCACTGAATCAGTTTTGTTAATGAGATTAACCTCTCTTTATGACAGATTTCTTACTTAGTAACCTGTCACTTAATAACAACTGTGTGGCTATCTTCACACCAATTCCCCAGTCCCACTCACAGATGTTGGGTTTTCCTACTTTACATTCTGAGTCTATGGAAATTGATAACTGACATTCAGTGCACTGCTGAGAAGGTGTATTTTGAGCTCTGCTGTAAAGGAAAAATGGCACACAAACTTCTTTTTATTTCTAAGGCTAGACTAAAATACAATCAATTTATGATAATGAATGTCATTGCCAAGCGCCATTGCAGGCTCTCTGTTTTCAAGTGATCTGGAAAAGTATGTACACTGCCTTTCGATCAAAGGGAAGACAAAGTAATGGATGACTTCATGAATCAACCAGGGTTCATAACACCAACTTGACTGATGTCAAATTCTGCTTCCAGAGCAACAGGAGGCTTGCTTTTCTAAATGGGTATTCCTATACTGTAAACGCAGAGAGTGCAAAAATAATTCTCAGAAATTGCAGTTACTGTAATCTACAAACTAGGTTATCAAAATTGGTCAATGATCTCCTCCAAAGATAGAGAGAGAATGCACGCCTGTGCTAACTGCATGACCAATCAACTTCTATCAATCCTCATTATCCTGTAGTTTTCCTAACTTGCTTCAATTTGTTGAGTGATAGCTGCTCTATCATGCAGAGAAAGTGGAAAAAAAAAAAAAGAAAAGGAAAGAAAAAGGTATCTCTCATACTGAAGTCCATATCTGGCTTTTAAAAATGACTTTTTATAAAATAAATCAGTGTTTTTTTCCATTCCTGATAAGAAATAACTTACTGTTTATCTCAATAAATCAGTCACTATTTTTTAAAATAAATTTATTTATATTTTATTTATTTTTCACTGTGTTGGGTCTTCGTTGCCACACATGGGCTTTCTCTAGTTGCGGAGAGCGGGGGCTACTCTTTGTTGTGGTGTGCATGCTTCTTTTTTTTTAAACATCTCTATTGGAGTATAATTGCTTTACAATGGTGTGTTAGTTTCTGCTTTATAACAAAGTGAATCAGCTATACATATATATATATATCCCCATATCTCCCTCTTGAGTCTCCCTCCCACCCTCCCTATCCCACAGTGTGCATGCTTCTCATTGTCGTGGCTTCTCTTGTTGCGGAGCACAGGCTCTAGGGCCACGGGCTTCAGTAGTTGTGGCACATGGGCTCAGCAGTTGTGGCTTGCGGCCTCTAGAGCACAGGTTCAGTAGTTGTGGTGCACAGGGTTACTTGCTCCGCAGCATGTGGGATCTTCCCAGACCAGGGATCGAACCGGTGTCCCCTGCGTTGGCAGGCGGATTCTTAACCACTGCACCACCAGGGAAGTCCAATCAGTCACTATTTTAAAAGCCTTCAAATGTATATTTATGAAGTTTTCTTTACTCTCTATTTCTCTATTAAATGTCTAAAGAAGCTATTTCCTCCCTTATATAACGAGGCCACTGGCTGGGTTATTTCAAACCTGGCACTGAAAAATAGCATCTTAAATAAACTTTCAGGGCCATTTCAATGTTGAAATTTTGAAGTCATTCTTACAGAAAAGGAGGGTGAAAAGGAGGAAAAAGCACTTGGTTTTGTTTTATTTTCAAGTAACCACAAACCCTCCTCTGCGTGTTCATGATTTAAACGTAGAGATGAGTGAAATACAGGCTGAAGTGGAATGAAGAAGAGGACACCTTTCTGGGACACAAACAGAAACAGGAGGCACAAGGGCCGAGAGGTTAAAGGTGACTCCAAACCAAGAGCAGGTGGGCAAAGTTTGCCTTGAATAGCGAGACAGCACCCTTCTCCCCGTTAGCCTTTTACACCCCAGACCCAGGCCTCAAGCTTTCATCTCCTACTCGGGCTCAGCCACCATCCAGACCTTTCCTATATTAGCCATTCTCTGCCATGCTCACCTATCTCAGACAGCTAATGAACACATCCTTTGCTAACTTATTAATTAATGTTAGTAGATTATTAGTTAATCCAGGGTACTATGTCAATCTTTTATCTATAAAAAGTTTAATACACTGTCTACTTCCCAAAAAGAAATGAGGTATTTACCAACAGAAAACACTGATACAATAAAACAAATGACAAAAACTGAAAGACTGAAAATAAAAGAAGTCAAAATCAATTCATTAAGGAAGATACGAAAGGCATTACATTTAAAAAATGCTTAGACCAACTACCAGTGCTGTAAAGAAAAAACATAAATTTAGCTTTAAGCTTCTGGTACTCAAAGCAACCAAGGAAATTGTTGCAAACTTTGATTAATTTTAAGACACTATGTGACCTTAGAAAAGTCACGTAACCTATTAAGTACCTCAGTTTCTCCACTGACAGAATGGGCGTTAAAATAATATCTACCTTATCTATCTCATATAGATCTTGTGAGGGTTAAATGAATTGATATATATGAAATGTTTAGAAAAGTGAGGACACATACTAACTGCTACAGGTGTTATCATTATTGTATTATTATTTCATCATCGATGGATTATTTTTTTTTTGGTCCCTAAACACTGAAAAAAAAATATAATACAAGATATTTCGGGTGGCAATTCTCCAAAAAAATACAGACATGCTCCACAAATAGCTATTTCTTAGATTAAATCTCTTTTTATAACCACTTTTTAAAATTGAAGTATAGTTAATTTACAATGTTGTGTTAGTTTCAGGTGTACAGCAAAATGATATATATATATGTGTATATATATTCTTTCCCAGATTCTTTTCCATTATAGGTTATTACAAGATATTAAATATAGTTTCCTATGCTATACAGTAGGCCCTTGTTGGTTACCTATTTTACATATATAGTAGTGTGTATATGTTAATCCCAAATTCCTAATTTATCTCTCCCTCCCGGCATTAGATTAAATCTTTATACAGCCATGAATATACAGTTTAATTTATTTAATGATTCCTCAATTTTTTCTATTATTTTCCAGAAATAGTCCTCTCTTTGTCGGATAAGAGGGCTTCTACTGCATCTCTTTATTACAGATGAAGAAACTGATACTTGGAAAGGTAAAGTAGATCAACTTAATTGACTCTCCCTGGGATCTCTAACTAAGGGAAAGAGAGAAGCAACTGTAGAGCATAAAACCCATAATGGAATATCACAGCTGGGGCAGTAGACTAACAGGAGACACATTAGCACCTGGGAGCATAAGGAAAGAGGGTCCAAAAGTGGGGTGGAGACTCAAGAATCTGACGGTATAATTTTCCTCTGTTGCTCGATCTAGGACTGATCCTACCTTAAGCTAAGAAGAAATGAGAGATCTCAGAGGCCTGCATCAAGGGATCCACAGAAATATGGGTAGTGGGTAAAAAATTTGAGGAGGGTACAAACTACTGAAAAAGAACTACTCTTTCAGGAAGTAGTCAGCTCTTACAAAGAACACAGAAGACTAGATGTTTCTGTTCTTTAGTTCAAATGGGATTGAGGAGTGGAACATTGATCAGGTAAACTATTTTAACAATTAACTACTGAGACTTTCAGAGCCATACAGAACATGAGACTACTGACAGGGCTTCCCTTTAGTGGAAGACTACTGAGATGTGTTCACTCATTTACATGGAAGAGTCATTTCCAGTCAGTGGATTCCTGGCAGGCATGAATTTCTTCTGTAGGATCCTGTGCTAGTTGGAGAGGAGAAGGATCCAGCTGTACTATCAGGGTCACCTGGTGGTAACTCAGCCTAGGTCTAAAATGACTTTTGATATTTCTACAGGAATATCTGAACTGATCATGTGAGGCAAAGGAACAAAATAACCAAAAAAGAAAAAAAGCACCTTAAATAGCGGGAAAGCAGTAGCAGAATAAGTTTAAGAAGAGATAGAAACAACAGAATTTTGTAGTGGTTTAGGAGAGGAGCCAAAGAAATTTCTTTTTAAAAAATAACTACCTCGGGGTTCCCTGGTGGTGCAGTGGTTGAGAGTCCGCCTGCCGATGTGGGGTACGTGCCCCGGTCCGGGAAGATCCCACATGCCGCGGAGCAGCTAGGCCCGTGAGCCATGGCCACTGAGCCTGCGCGTCCGGAGCCTGTGTTCCGCAACAGGAGAGGCCACAATAGTGAGAGCCCCGCGTACCGCGCAAAAAAAAAAAAAAACCTACCTCGTCCTTCCTCTGCCTGCTTTCCTCTCTTTTACTGAGACTGAAAACAAATGGCGTATTTAGCCAATGGAAATGAGAGCCCCGTAGGGTCTTGGAGTGGCTTCAAGGAGAGGGAGTGTGGCACAATGACTTCTCTGGGTTTAACTGGCTTTGAAACCTCTTTGTATGGCTGCCAAAGTTCCACCTAGCAAACAAGCATGTGCCTGCTTTTCAAGACCAACGAAAATGTAGGAAAAGTAAAGTGCTTTTGAAAGTGAAGACCTTCTCCCTGCAGGCGACATTCTCCCTACTGTGGTCTAACTCCAATGGCAATTAATTCAGCTGGAAGCCCTAGGCTGCTGCTTTTCCTCCTTCTCCCCCTTTGGCACCCCTAGGACCCCAATAAATGTGGAATAGATAAGTCTGGATTGAAGCGTATTGATGCTGGTATTTCCTTCCACAACTGCTGATGCTTTATTTTAAAAAATTAAATATATGACAAAGTCAGAGAAAATTTAATTCGAGGGAATAGAAACCTGAAGACAACTGAAAATCCCTAGTATGTAAATCAATACCAAAAACCCACTAATGTTTCTCATATATGTATACATGTACATTTTTTTTTCTTCAAAGGAATACAATTATATGTGGTGAAATTAAATACAGGTAAAAGAACTAAAAGCAGGACAGGCCTTCACATACCCATGTTTTCCTTTGATAAGGCATCATCTGAACAAACATTTTCAAAAGATGATTTTAAAATAGCTTTCCTAGAAAAAGAATTTGACAGATTTATTTTCAAAAGATCAGGCATGTATATTTAAATAACTGTTCATGCATATTCATTGGTAACTGTAAATTATGAGTATATATTTCCTAACTTGGGGTACTTTTTCTTTGTTGTTGTACACAGTAAGTAAGGCAGTGAAAAACAAAATAATACTGATCTGAGCTCTCACTAGGTGAAAACCACTAGTAATCTACCCAGCACCTTACACAGCCTTTTTCGTGTAATCCTCCCTCCAAAAACCTACCAATTGTTACTCAGAGGAACTAAGAAATTTGACAACATAGGAAAATGGTTGAACGTGATAGTACTAAATTCTGTCAGACTGCAAAATCCATGCTTTTCCCACTACACCATGTTGCTGATTTAGAGTCAGAAAACATCTGTTCAAACGCATTTTCTCTAACCAGATCCTGAGAAAGTCACTTAAATTCTTTAAGGCACAAATTCTTCATCTTTTAGGTGGAGATAATTATGATATACCCCTATCTATTTGATGAGGTTACTGTGAAGTGTCAAGATTAGGAAGTGAAAGTCCTTTTTAAAAATTTAATTATTCATCTTCTAAAAAAGGACAAAGAAGAGAAGGACTGTCATATTAGGCCAGTCTTTGTCTTTGAGTAGGACTCCTTTTCACATAACACTGATTACTATTCATTAAAAAAATAAATAACCTGTATGGCTGGTTCAGTGATAAACACTAAAACTTGTCATCAGTGACTTATTATAAAGGCTTATTTCTGGTTTGCATTACCTATTTTTAAACTAAAAACCTGCTTCTTATCTGGTTGCTCACATGATATTAATCTTTGAAACGTATAGTTCAACACATTTGTACTAACATAAAACTTTCTCCATAATTCTAAGCCTACTACTTATCATTTTATTAATTCTTTTAGAAAATTTAAAACGTATTTCCCTAGAGAAACAAAATTAAGAACCAGGGGGAAATGTCATATAAAAATTAAACCCAATATATATATATTTCAATTTTATCATAATAGTTTTTAATTTAAAAAAGCATACCTTTTCCTAAATTTAGGCTTTTTCTTTTGAGTATTATTTTTGGAAACTTGCATCTGTAAAGTAACAACACAAAAAGATCAGTTAGTTCATATGGGATACGATGAGTTCAGCATAATAATGGATCCTATATGGTCTGAGTAAGTTAGCCCAGAAGAAAAACTCTGGTCCCCAGCCCTAAATAACATATGTAATTCTAAGTCAGCCACTTCATCATCACTGCAATTCCACTGACCTGCTCAACTTCTAGGAATGGTCGACTCATCCAGTACAAATGCCTACCCCCTATATCCACTCTCCCTTCCTCACCTTCCACAAATACACAAAAATACTAAGTAAAACTACTTTTATATTTTCATTCATATATGATCTTTAAAGAAAGAAAAAGAAATATTCAGATGTCAGAAACATGTGGAATGCAAAGCTATACAGGTGGGAACTGACATGGTGAAGACCCACAGAGAATTTATACCAGAAAAGGGCCAAAAGGGCTTGGGACTGGGGTTTTAATGTCTAAGCAAGGACAAGATGAAGGATGTGGAGGAACTGGAACACTCGTACATTGCTGGTGGGAATGTGAAATGGTGGAGCCATTTTGGAATACTGTTTGACAGTTCCTCAATATGTTAAATGTAGAGTTACCCCATGATGCAGCAATTCCACTTCTAGGTATATGTCCAAGAGAAATGAAAACATACGTCCATGTAAAAAATTATATTTGGTCATAATTATGAAACTATGAATGTGCATAACAGCATTATTCATAATAGCCAAAAAAGTAGAAACAACCCAAATATCCATCAATGGATAGATATGTGATATATCCATGTAATGAAATATTACTCAGCCTTTAAAAATAGTGAAGTACTGACACATACTACAACGTGGATGAATCTTGAAATCATTACGGTAAGTGAAAAGTTGAAAAAAAGTCAGACACAAAACGCCACGTTGTATGATTTCATTTATCTGAAATGTCCAGAAAAGGCAAATCCATAGAGACAGAAGTAGATTAGTGATTGCCAGGGACTGAGGGGATGTAGAAATGGGCAGCGATTCCTAATGAATATCAGGTTCTCTTTTGGTGGTATGAAAAAGTGTTCTGAAATTAGATAGTGGTATTGGTTGACAACTGTGAATATACTAAGAAACACTGGATTTTACAATTTAAAGGACTGACTAAGTTATATCTCAATGAAGGTAAAAAATTTTTTTAATGCAGTGACATGGAAAAATTGAAAGTAAGGAGATACAATATATCAATGATTATTAACAAAGGGAATACTGCTACAGTATTACTGGTAGAAAAAAGCAGATATTAAGGCAAAAAGCATAATCAGAGATAAAAAGGTTATTACTTAATGCTAAAAGAAACAATCTACCCCCAAAATATAATAGTCCTGAACCTGTATATACCAAAATCTTAGCCTTAAAATATACAGAGAAACAGAATTACAAGTAGAAACTGATGAATTTACAGTTAAAAGGGGATATTTTAATTTACTTCTCATAAAAAATTATATCCTAATAATCACTCAGGGGAAGTTTGTATGAAACATTCAGGGAATTCATATTATTATGATGCTAAAGAGTAAGTGATCTTCTTTTTGTGATCTTCAACCTCAAGGTAATATTCAAATAGTTTTTCCAGGACTGTTATATACCTATATGGTAAAAAATACGTATAGAAATACTGTTGTCTAAATCATTGAACTATATCTCCAAAGACAATGTAATGCTATTATTTCTATCTTGTTATTAAGGATCAGCTTATGTTACATGCATATTTGAGTATGAATTGAAAGGCTGGTCACAAGTGGAAATGAAATTCAGGTAACAAAGTGAAAACTGCTTTATAGGTACTAATAGAAAGAAATACTGCTAGACGACTACCATAAATTACAGTGAGTTGTGCTGGTCATAATAAATTCCTTTTCTCCTTTGTTAAATACTGCATAGCAGCCAAAATGGACTAGTCAGTATTTGCCAAACGCCCTGTGCTTTCCTGCTCCAGGCTTTGACAACGTATGATGGATGGAGAAGGGCACTGCATCTGGAAGGAGAGGGTCTGGATCTGGATGCTGACTCTGGCACCTACAAGTGGGATCACCTTTGGTAAGTCACTGACTACTGTAACATCCAGCAAGAGCCTGGCGTAAGGTAGACACGTAATAAATATTTTCTGACTAAATGACCATTCTGCATTTCAGGGTCTTCTTTAGTTAAATAATGCTAAAAAAATAACTACCTCAAGGCATTTGAGGGAAGATTAATTACACAACATGCCAGGAAGTATCCAACAGTGTTTGGCAATTAGTTGATGTTCAGTCACTGTTTCATTGTTATACTAGTCCACCAGGTCAGTGTCAGAACTCTACCCTTTTTTCTTAGACCATACGACAGAGGGAACTTGGCACTTTGATATGGCTGGACTTTGGTAGTGTATTAGTTTCCCAAATCTGCCATAACAAATTACCACAGATTTGGTAAAGCATCAGAAAATTATTGTCTTACAGTTCTGAAGGATAGATGTCTGTCTCATAAGAACACTTATCGTTGGATTGAGGGCCCATATTATCCAGGATGAGCTCATCTCAAAATCCTCATCCAAAGGATTTGCAAAGATCCTTATTTCAAATAAGGTCACATTCTGAGGTTCCTGGTGGACGTATCTTTCGGAGGCTACTATCCAACCCAGTACAAGTAGACACTGAAGATTACTTTATCTAATCTATCTCTTCCCCTTCTCTTCCTGTGTTGCACAGCTGATTCTCCTATGTTGTCCAGTCCAATGCTATTCAGAACAAGAGCCACAACATGACAGAATCAGCAACATCTGAGAGCTTGTTAGAAATGCAAATACTCATGCCCATCCCATGCATACCAAATCAGAAACTCTGTGGGTGGGGCCTGGAATCTGTACTTAAATAAGCTCTTCAGGTGACTACAGTTTTCCAGGCACTGATCTAGCCCACACCCATCCACACAAATATATTGCTATACAAGTGTCACTGATTTTAAAGAAAACAAAGCAAGTATTAATTCTTTCCTTGGACATAAAAACAAAGAGATGTATGTATAGACAACATATGCCATTTACTGAAAAAAAATAATTAGCATTGTGGACTAGAATGGCAAATGAGAGAACTGCCTTTTACTGCAAAGGACAGAAAATGTGTAAGAATTGTGTTTATATCAGATTAATATAATCTGCATAAACTGACTTGATATTGCCCATTTCCTTAAGCCACTATTCATCTAAATTAAAAACCTTTTTTTGGCTCACACCAAGGAGTACTTCCCAGAACTTCTGCTGCCAGTGTCCTTGTCCCCACAGTGAGCCACAGCCACCCCCCGCCTCTGCAGGAGACTCTCCAACACTAGCAGAGACCCCTGATGTTGGGGAGCAGTTGAGGTCCCAGACCAGTCACTGATGGTGACCACACGAAGACAAGTTCTGGAGACTAGGAAGTCCAAGATTAAAGTGCCAACCAGAGCTTTGGGGGAAGATGGTGTAAGAGTAAGACGCGAACATCACCTTCCTCCCCACAGATACACCAGAAATACATCTACACGTGGAACAACTCCTACAGAACACTTACTGAACGCTGGAGAAAACCTCAGACCTCCCAAAAGGCAAGAAAGTCCCCACGTACCTGGGTAGGGGAAAAGAAAAAAGAATAAACAGAGACAAAAGAATAGGGACAGGACCTGCACCAGTGGGAGGGAGCTGTGAAGGAGGAAAAGTTTCCACACATTAGGAAGCCCCTTCGCGGGCGGAGACTGCGGGTGGCGGAGGGGAAAAGCATCGGAGCCGCGAAGAAGAGCACAGCAACAGGGGTGCGGAGGGCAAAGCAGAGAGATTCCTGCACAGAGGATCAGTGCCGACCGGCACTCACCAGCCTGAGAGGCTTGTCTGCTCACCCGCTGGGGTGGACGGGGCTTTGGTCGGAGTGCAGGGAGAGGACTGGGGTTGGCAGCGTGAACACAGCCTGCAGGGGGTTAGTGCACCACGGCTAGCCGGGAGGGAGTCCGGGGGAAAAAGTCTGGACCTGACGAAGAAGGAAGAAGCAAGACTTTTTATTCCCTCTTTTGTTTCCTGGTGCGCGAGGAGAGGGGATTAAGAGCGCTGCTTAAAGGAGCTGCAGAGACGGGCGCGAGCCGCGGCTAACAGCGCGGACCCGAGAGACGGGCATGAGACGCCAAGGCTGCTGCTGGCGCCACCAGGAAGCCTGTGTGCGAGCACAGGTCACTATCCACACCTCCCTTCCGGGGAGCCTGTGCAGCCCGCCACTGCCAGGGTCCCAGGATCCAGGGACAACTTCCCCGGGAGAACGCACGGCGTGCCTCAGGCTGGTGCAACGTCCCACTGGCCTCTGCCGCCGCAGACTCGCCCCGCATCCGCACCCCTCCCACCCCATGGCCTGAGTGAGCCAGAGTCCCCGAAGCAGCTGCTCCTTTAACCACGTCCTGCCTGAGCGAAGAACAGACGCCCTCCAGCGACCTACAAACAGAGGCGTAGCCAAATGCAAAGCTGAGCCCCGGGAGCTCTGCGAACAAAGAAGAGAAAGGGAAATTTCTCCCAGCAGCCTCAGAAGCAGCGGATTGAAGCTCCACAATCAACTTGATGTACCCTGCAGCTGTGGAACACATGAATAGACAACGAATCATCCCAAATTGAGGAGGTGGGCTTTGAGAGCAAGATTTATTATTTTTTCCCCTTTTCCTCTTTTTGTGAGTATGTGTATGCTTCTCTGTGAGATTTTGTCCCTAGAGCTTTGCTTTCACCATTTGTCCTATGGTTCTTTCAGTCCGTTTTTTGTTGTTGTTTGTTTGTTTGTTTTGCTGTACGCGGGCCTCTGACTGTCGTGGCCTCTCCCCTTGCGGAGCACAGGCTCCGGACGCGCAGGCTCAGTGGCCATGGCTCACCGGCCCAGCCACTCCGCGGCATGTGGGATCTTCCAGGACCTGGGCATGAACCCGTGTCCCCTGCATCGGCAGGCGGACTCTCAACCACTGCGCCACCAGGGAAGCACCCGTTTTTTTTTCTTTAAAA